CCAAGAAACATGTTTTAGTTACATCAATGAAAGAAACAGGAARAGAAACATTATTGAAGCAGAGAAGGCTGCTGCAGTAAGTGTTRTAACGATAAAAATTATATTATATAACAGATACATGTAGTCACGAATATGTCRCAGCTGTCCTGTCATTGAACACTGTCAACATTCTGTCAATGAAAATCACATCAAAATTGATATCGATTTCCGTTCTCAAATTTGCATGTGTTAATTTTGGTTTATATTAAAGGAAGAACTAAGGACAGAGGAAAAGAAGGACGATCCATTTACGAGAAGAAAAACTTTACCAATACTTGTGTCAATGGTAGGTGAAAATGATGTGGCCAAGTAGTTTTGAATGTATTTTGAATGTAATTGCTGGAATTTCAGTTTTTGAMTGCTGTTATCCTTTACAAGTTTGTAAGGTCTCTTGTGATTGTAGGAATAAAACAATGCTCATTGTTTCCTYGTTCTTCAATCCTATTGTTTTCTTTTGTTTAACAAGAGGAAGTAAACCTGTTTGATAAGATAAGATCTTGCAAAAYCGTGAAGGGCTACCCTTTGATAATTGGACAGCATTGAATCAATTCTAAAAATTAATACTCAATACATTTAACCAGGAGATTGTATTGAATTGCTAGTCTATTCAAACTTTTTTCTTATGTGAATATAGGCCAAGGCTACTGCTTTGTTTGATGACAGTGGATCATCAACCCTGCCAACTGATGACGGCACAACATCACAAATGAACGAGGTGAGCTTGTCTTGTTGCGTTCAAGTCATGAAACAACAAAKCTTTGTCTAATTGCTTTATAAAATGTTGACTTGTTTGTGAAAATATGCAAAAAAATGTATAGCAATAAGAAATATTTTTGATCAACAGACACCTGCATTTTCAAGAACTGCATCGAAATTGGTAGTAAGTATTAGCAATAATTAGTAATTATTAATAATAATTCTCAGTATCAGTACTTCTTGTTGCCTTCTAAAGTACTCAATACATTGACTATCCAACAAGTAGCTTATAAGCCTAARCATTTTCAGTAAAAGAAAATAATAAAGTATATTCAGCTTCCCGTGAGAGACGCTGGGATCCCGATTTCTTTTGGGTGGAGGGGGGGAGGGGAATGTTAGGGAATATTATGCCAGGACTCCTCCCTCCATCTCTCAAAAAAAGAGCCAGACATGTCTGTGAAGGCAGTAAATGACCCYATTATTTTTTGTATGTTACAAAGACGCCGGCCAGGGGTATCTTAGACACTCCTGGTAATACAAGCGAAACGCCCATGGCAGAYAACAAGAATACACCATCCAACTCGGAGGACTTATTCTCCGCACATAACTTCGATATTACCATCAATCTCAACTTCCCTTTACCAGGTAAGTCCTTACAGAAGTTCGTAATGTAATTCTGKTCCTTAWTATAAAAGGTGGACTTGGTTCTTTTCGACAAATTTGATTTTTATTTTCTCTGAAGTTTTCTCTGCTGAAAACTCGGATTGGATTATCTTTCACGCACTGTAGATCCATTTAGCCCTCAAAATCTAGTTTCTTAAAGCCTCTTTAGTTTGACTTTCTTTTCGCCAAATTTGAAAATCCAAAACCAAATCTGCTGAAACCTCGGAATATTTTAGGGTTTTTTCACGCACTGTAGAGCCATTTAGCCGTCAAAATCAGCTAGTTTCGCTTATTAAAAACTTGACTTACAAAAAAGTTTGACTTACAAATTGCTTTTGTTTTTCTAGAAACTCGCACTACACCTACTGTAACCCACACCCCGAATATCGATCGGGATGGAACGCCAAGAAGATCTTTGAATCTTGAGGACTATAAGAAAAGAAAAGGACTTATATAGCTCACTATTTTGTCTCATTGAACTCAAAGCTAGGAAGTTAGGTATTCTGTATAATAAGCTKTCAAAAAGAAATCAATTTTACTTATTCTGTACAAAGAAAATGCTGTAATCATTACGACAAACGACATTAAGAAATCACTAGTGCTCGCTTCTCTGAGACAACCAGCTCTAGCAGTTCTAGCAGTAGARAGAGCTCGCAGAGTAAAAAAGTACATTGTTATCTTGGCCTGTCTTCGCATAACATACACGAGAAGAGAAGTTAGAAGTTGTTTTTGGAAACGCCATAAAAACCATGAATGAACGATAACAGTACTTCAGTAGCTCGATGTTATTATTACCTCACAATGGATTTTACTTCCCTGAGCCAGGAACTTCACCTTTTGAATAAAAGATAACACTTTTTCGCGGACATTTAGTTMTGTAAGAGTTTTACTGACACTAAATTTTGAAAAGGTCGTCCGGTTAAAAGAAAAATGTAGAAATTATTTACACTTATTATACTTTTCTTGCAGTAAATTTGTAATTCATTGTACATAATATTTCGTGATTCAAATTTTGAAGTGAAGTTCATAGTTTTGCAGTACACAAGAACAAAAAAATGTTTCATTTTAGCAATGTTTTTTAACTGGACAATCTTTTCAAAATAAGCTGCGCTAAAAGGCAAGCCTAGTTTTGCTAAGTCTTTGTGTGTAAGTGATCTGAAAACGTCTTTACTAGTCAATGTTGGAGTTATTTTATTGTTAGAAGTCTAAACTTAAACTGTACATGCGACAACATTTGACAATTTTAGAAATAATGTGAATATTTATGATCTTTTTGTATTAAAATCCTGATGGAGTTGAAAATATTCTTGTTAATTGTGAGACATTTTGCTTCGCGCATCCTGTTCCCGTTGCGTTCCGCGCGTTTTTCGCAATTAGAATCAGAACGGTATTATTTTAAGCTGTAAGGTTAGATTTGGGTTTCATTTACTTATTTAAGGAATAAAAGACGAAATTCCGTGTTTGATACTCTGATCAAAACACGCGGGATGTAGGGAGGGCACGAGAGAAGCGTAGGAAACCACGACACGTAGCGGAGTGGTTTCCAGCTTTTCGAGTGCTCTCCCTACATCCCAAGTGTTTTGATCAGAGTATCAAACACGGAATTTCGTCTTTTATTCCTTAATCTAAAATTAAAAGAAAAAAAGAAATTTTTGACGTGCGCGAGCGTGTTTTGATACTGTAATCAAACATGGTTTTCGACCAATCACAGCGCGCGTAGTATCCTAAGTATTTTAGAAATATTTTTATTTTATTTGACGGAATAACTTCCGGCTTATATAGGTCGTTGGTCCTGGGTACCCTGTGTTCTTTAGTAGCGACGCATGGCTATGAATCTGCGCTAATATCCATCAGCAGTTGGTTTTGTTTTGCGGTCTTTGTGGTAAAGACGCTTTAGATTTTCATCAAGAAAAAACACGATGAAATTGAATAATAATCGATGTTTTTCAAACAATCATATGAAGTAGATTTAGTAATATTCTCGTGAATTTAATCTGCTTGTCGATGTAAATAATATAGCAGTTTTTTTATTATAAAATTGCTTCCGTGTTTCCTGACTAAAATACTTGTAATCTCTCTAAAACAATGTCTTAATTTTAAGCTTACTAATATATAATGCATTATTTTAATTGCAAGTTCGATATATTATCGCTTCAAAAGTGCTCTGACAAGGAAGCTAAATGACAATTCTCCTTTCGTATCTGTTATTAATTTTTATAAACAATTCTCATTAATATGAACTTTATATTCTAGCAGGGGAGGAGTTGTGTTATTGCAATAGAGCCACAGACCGATTATGCGGTTTTTAGTCTTCTGGGCAAAACAACTGCTATATGTTACATGTGCTGAGTTCAATAAAAATTGATTCGGCAATCCGGCCTGTGTCTTCAGCGGTTACATGTTAAATTCGACGTTTTCGAAAAGTTACAAAAATGGAGCAAGCTTTATTTATGTCGGAACATTGCAGTTCTCAACACTATTTTGTCGCAATGAACGTCATTAACGTTCCCCTTGATATTCCGATACTAATTTGTTGGCGCGAAAAGGAAAAATACATCATGAATAAAAGTGTATATTTATTGCTTTACACGTGGTTGAAAAAGAAACTTAGAGGGGAGGGGTGGAGCTGATGTTTACGCATTGCCACCAGCCAGCAAAGTGTTTGTACTAACCATGGTTTTGTGGGATATTATCCGGTTCGTTTCAACATGACAGCGGAGCAGTCGTTCCATGGAGAAGTTGTGTCCGACTTTAACAAACTGAGATCCAATCGAATCTACCTGTTCGACGACCCGCGACATCGACAAGAACTTGTAAGCTTCTTGAATTCGTTGCGGCGTAAAAACTTRCTTTGTGATGTCACCCTTCGACATGGAAAACGAAAACTCGCGTGTCATCGCACCGTTCTCAGTGCGGCAAGTCCGTATTTTCGCGCCCTTTTCATTGAAGCTGAGTCTGGGAAATTTGTAAAAAATGTTGATGTTCCTATGGAAGTCGAACCGTCAGCTCTGGATGCTACACTGGACTATATATATTCAGGATGTGTTTACCTTAATCCTCTCAACGCTCTTGGTGTGCTTAAGGCGTCTTGCTTGTTTAAACTTCAGACTCTAACGGATGAATGCACATTTGCGCTTTCGAAATATATCTCATTTGAGAATGCCTTGGAAATAAAAGAAATAGCTTTACTATATGGACAGAAGAGATTGCACGAGAGAACTTGGAGGTTTATTTGTAAGCACTTTGTAGAGATATCTACGAGAAGAGAKTTTCTGGAGCTGACTGACCAGAAACTGGAGAAGATTCTTGGTAGTGACGAAGTTCACGCTACGGAGGAACAGGTACCTGTTGAATGAAATCTCGTGCAAATCTACTTTTGAAATATATTCTCTTTCCCTTCCCATCCATGCAGTTATTTTTCATTACTTCAAATGTCATTTTAAATGAAATCAATACTTGGAACTAAGCAAAATATATTATCTAATCCCCTATTCACGATGAAAACACCCTGTCATTCATTTAAAGTAATTGATTGAGATCAGAAAATCTTAGTTATAKTTTGGTCACCATAGCCATAACATGATATGCCAGTAACCAGAGTATTATATAATTAAATACATTTTCAGCATTTCATATTTAGGATGACAAACTGGCACATTGCATATTGTCAATTATGTCTTCAATCAATCTAAAGAAAACGTATTTTTTCGGATCTTGAAAGTAGTTGAATGACAAAGACTGAAAAAAAAAACACATTTATCTTAATTTACATTTGTTTATTCTTGATGTTATGCTTGCGCTTCATATGCTTACCCTGCAGGATGCTCATTTAATTTTTGATGTATACCTATGGAATCATGTAGTTCCCATTTATTCATCTATTCCTTCATTTCTCATTTAGCTCTTCGACAGTCTTGTTCGCTGGACGAACATTAACCGAAAGGAAAGAGGTGTTCATTTTGCCAAACTGCTTCGTTTAGTTCGCCTTCCTCTTATGAACGACTCGTTYATCGTCAAAACCGTCGAAAACGAAGAACTCGTTCAGMGGTCTCCTTCTGCYAAAGAAATGGTAATGGAGGCCATGAAATATCAGATCGCYGATGAGGACTTGCGACAGTCGCTCCAGGGACCACGGACAGTTGCTCGTAGTTGGTCTAAGCTTGTMGAGGTCATAATGTTTGTTGGTGGAAAGGGTTCGAGTCCGCGCGAKAGTTGCTCAACTCTTTGCTACGATCCTAGGACTGATGCTTGGTTTAGTGTTGCTCCAKCTCCGTAAGTTGGACTTTTGAAGTTTTTTTTTAGTTGCGCAACACTTAAACACTTAATTTTTGCGTACTTGTAAAATTCACGGCGATTTCAGGGCGACAGCAACCYTCTATGCAAACTCGATCACTTTTTCCAACTTGCSGTGATGAAATCGCAYATCATCATCATCAATCTTYATCATTTTTATGCAGATTATTAATTATYATTTCTATCAGTGTCACATTATCAGATCACTGTGTCACGTGTCTTGATGACGTAGTCTTATGCTGTGGTGGATCAGAGGAGGGCAAATCATCGTTGCTGCTTAAAAAAGATGTCTTCAYGTTTGATACACAATTYAATCAATGGACGACTGCTTCTGCAATGAAYGAAGAAAGGGCCATGTCAGCTTGCTGTGGCCATGACGGTCTATATTACGTTGTTGGTAAGAAAATTAATTAATATTTTGGCATCATAATTCGGCCCATTGCTTACATAGAAGCATGACATATGTTTATTTTTTTATTTACATCATCAGGCGGTATGATTGAAGGGTCAGAGTGGAACGYTGTTGAGGTATACAACCCAATAAACGACAAATGGACAATTCTTCCCAAACCAAACATACCAAGGAGTAATCACGCCTTGGTGTCCACAGAAACACATTTATATGCAGTTGGTGGCGAGGGTTATGAGATTGAGCCCGCCATAAGTGTCGAGCGTTTTGATCCAATTTCTGATACATGGAGCTTCGTGTTGCCMATGAGCTGCGGTAAGGTTGGAGCATGCGCAGTAGTTTTAGAAAGACGCCTTATTGTTATTGGTGGATCAAATGGATACCACACGTTAAAGCAGTGTGAGGCATATGACATGGACCATCATCGCTGGAAAGATATTGCAGGTAAAGAATCGCGTTCTCAATGTGCAAT